CTGGGGGCTCCTCCAGCCCCCACTGGTTAACCTGAACTGGTAAGCCTCACCCGCAAAGGGCGACGCTAATTGCAAGGCTTAACGGTTAACCCTTCACATCCCTAGCTAGGGCCTTGAGATCCACCCTCCCCCCCCCGCCATTTGAGCCCCAGCTGCTAGCAGGAGTGTGCTCGCTCGCTCGCGCTCTCTCATGCGCGCTCTCTCTCTCTGCTCTCGCTTGCGCTTTCTTTCTTTTTCTCGCGCTTGCTCTCTTTTCTCTCTCTCGCTTGTTCCCTCTTTCTCGCTCTCTTTTGCTTGCGCGCTCTCCCGCTCTCGCTTGCACTCTCTCTCTCACAGAATCTCTTTCTCGCTCGCACTTTTTCCTCTCTCGCATTCACTTGCTCACATTTGCGTTCTCTCTTTCGCTCTCTCTCTCTCTTTCTCACTCTCTCTCTCATTCTCTCTCTCTTGCTTGCGCTCTCCCTCACTCGTTCTCTTGCCCTCTCTCTCTTTAGCTCTCTCTCACACTCTCTTGCTCTTACTTGCATTCTCTCACTCTCTGTCTCTCTCTCACACACACTCTCTAGCTCTCGCTTGCACTCTCTCTCTCTTGCTCTTTCTCTCTCTCTTGCTCTTTCTCTCTTTCTCTCACTTGTGCTTTCTCTCACGCTCTCTCTCTCGCTGTCTCTTTCTCGCTCTCTTGCTCTCACTTGCACTCTCTCTCATGCACCCTCTTGCTCTTGCTTGTGCTCTCTCTCTCGCTTGTGTGCGCTCTCTCTCACATGCTCTCTCTCGTTCTCTCTCTCTGACTCTCGCTTGCACTCTCACTCTCTTGCTCTCTTGCCCTCACTCTCTCTTGTGCTCTCTCTCTCTCTCTCTCTTTTGCTCTCTCTCTCTCTCTCCCTCTCGTGCGCGCTGTCTCACATTCTCTCTCTCTCTCGCTCTCTCTCTGTCTCTCACACACACTGTCTTTCACTCACGTCTGCTCTCTCTCTCTTGCTCATGCTGTCTTGCTCTCACTTGCTCTCTCTCTCTCACTTTCACTCTCTCTCTTGCGCACTCTCGCTCTCTCGCTCTCTTTCTGTCTTCTTTGCTTGCTTTCTCTCTCTCACTTTCTCTTTCTTTCACTAATTCTCTCTCAGACACACATACTTTGCCGGTGGGTTTCACTCCTGCCCCATCCCCTCCCAGCTGTCCCAGACCCCATGGGGTCTCTTCCCGCCCAACTCCCCATGGCGGTGGCTGTGCCCTCCACAGGCCTCTTCCCCCAGCTCGTGTCTCTGCCCAGACACTCCCAGTTCCTCCCTCCTGGCCCCTTATCTCCTCCCCTCCCCTCCCCGGCTCCCAGGCCAGGCCCCTGCGCTGCTCTTCCTCCAGTCTCAGTCTTTTCCTCGCCCCTCCTGGCTTCTCCGACTTCCCTTCCCCCTTGGACCAGTTCTCCCACCCTGGCTCCTTGCCAGAGCTTTCGCCTCCCCCCCACTTCCCATCTCCTGGTCCAGCCAGG